TCATACAACACTGTTTACACACAGCTTTATTGCTTTTTACAATCTTTTTCAGGCTGATCAGTACTGAGTTTTGTTATACTGAAAACATCCTATCATGTTGACAACTTATTACTTTTTTGTTTAGTCTGGTATCCTTTCTGAAAATAAGCAATTAGAACCACACACTATATTAAAAGCATCGCTGAACCACGGTTTTGTATGGTAACATTATGTTATCAGTTTTGTCCTTTATTCCTTTCCTAACACAGTTTAGTTTTTAATGCTAGCAAGTATGGGGATGATGTTTTCACTGAACTACCGTAGCTGAGGATGGCTCCTGAGAGACAAGTCAGCTTGGCATTCACCATTACACATGCAAAATTACAACATTTTTCCCCACACACGCACACTTAACCTACACTGAATTTTTGCCATTTTATTGTCTAATCTTGCAGGCTGTCTGCAGTCCTTCAGATTTTGCTCCTTATTTTTTCATATCTAATTTATTCAGAATATCAGATATGTGAAAAATTGCAGCTGCAATACAGAAACTTACTTGCTCCAACAATTCACATGCTAAAGAACTTTGAGTCAGTAACTTGGAAGTCTCTCCCAGTTTCAGAGCTTTATGCATTTGGATAGAAGTTCTGAAGTTAGAAAAACACTACGCCTGAATTTGAATACAGGCAGGATGAACTTTTAAAGCTCACACCATTTCACACATACCACACCAATTTCAGCATTCCTTTAGGAAAAGGGTGAGCTGTCAGGTTCTGTGCAAAGTAAAGAAATTTCTTCCAGCTACAAGACATTAAGACTCAAGGGCACAGATGACGTAGATTCAGTTCTTCCAGCTGCATACCCATAGTAAGATAGTGTAATGACGTTCTCAGTCTTTTTTTCACCTCCCATAGATACATAGGCAAATATGAAAAGTACCGAACCACACAACTGAAACTGGTCATGCATATATGAAGGAAGGTAAAGAACAGAAGTCATATGATCTGCACAGAAACCAGAAGTCGCAAAAGCCCTACACCAAAGGACTAAACAAAACTCAAGACATTTGTCACAAGGTAAACATTTACAAGGGCTACCAAGACATTAGATACGGGAGAAAACATTTGCAAGTGCAATGGATTCAAGTCAAAACTTTAATACAGTTACACCAAATACTTACAGTAACAGTGAAAGCCTCCACGGCACCAGCAGCACTTGACAAAGGTGATGGACGATGAGGAACTAGCTCCCAGGCCTCATGACCTAAACCTTACTACAAACAGTCCTCAGGCAAGCGATACAATACAAGATTCATTATTTGCAGCTACTGTAGGAATAAGCACATCACAGGTTAGTCAACAGGACTGAAGGACAAATGTTTTGAACCCTCGCATACCTTCCATGTGTAGAGATTTGTGTCAGAGAAGGGAGCAGAGGAAGTGAACGTTTAAGACTGCTATGAAAACAGAGCCCACTTAGCTCCCCAAGAGAGAAAAAAAACAAAGCCCATCTACTTTTTCACTTGGGAATCAGAGGATACATTCTTCCTCATTTTTACTTGTCTGACAAAGTAATTGAGAAAGAAACCATTTTATTTCTATATCCATTTATTGTTCCAGTCTGTAAAAATATAAGACTAATATACAACTACAGGTAACTTGATTTTGTAAAATCAATCTTCATTCAGTGAGATACAATGTACATCATACATTGAAGTTGTAAGAAAAATACTGATATTTGACATTTTAAACAAGTTCATTCATGTAAAAATCACATTGCAAGTAAAATTTAATTAGAAAATACATAATATTCACAAAAATACACATGTTAAAGACAGCTTGTGAGAACATTGTCCTAAATTTAATTCAGCTGTGGAAAAAACATATGATTCACAGTTAGGCTTGACTTATCCAGTACCGTAGCAGAACTTCAAAGTAAATGCATCTTAATTCTATTAAGAATTTGTTCTTTTTCCTATTAAGGTGCACTTAAATCTCCCAGTTGCAAGTCACGAATGACTTGTCCTCCCCACTGTGCATGTACACAACATATAACACTAGTCAAAGGAATTTTAGTTTTCCATTCCATTTTGAAATAATTTGGATATTTATAAATTAATTTATAAAATCTGAATTGAAAATGCAATTTACACATACAGGATAGTTAATACACAAAGATTACATTAATAGCAGCGTAATATTGTCAATCATGCATAGCATCCTCACTATCGCTTTTGGATTTTTTTCTTTTTTTAGCTAAAGATAAAATCTATATAAAACAGTCAAGCCTTTAAGTATTTTCTTCCAAGGAGAAAATTGCAAAGATGTTAAAAATTTAGGAGGTAGTGAATGAAAGGCTAACAATACATTTTAAAAAACCTTACACTGAACCCCAATACCATTTATATATAAAATAACATTGAGACACTCAATCAACCGTTGATCATCCTGAAGTAACAATTTAAAAATATTTCATAACAGTGTATGCATTAGTAAGATATGGAAGAACTTTAGAAACTTTATGGTAACTGCAGCATTAAGCAATTACATGCTGTGCAGTCTGTCATTGTAACTGTAATGCACACTTTTAAAAAACCATTTTTAGGTTTATTCTTTAATGTTTTTAACAAGCCCCAAACGCTTAGTTTTGCTACGTTACCAAATTTCTGTAAAACAAAACATGACGTGTCAAAAACAAATTCTCACCTTTAGATTAATCCATTTGCAGGAAAGGTCCTACAAGATGTGTTCTCATGCAATTTAGAGTAAGACCCAAATTAAATTTCTACAAGTCCTTAATACTGGCATGTATTTTCTAAACATTCATGCACCTGTTATAAGTACAGATTAGGTAACACAGAGTTTGGCAGCACACTAACCTTGGTGTTTGTACCTAAGCAATACCTTCCCTTGCAACACTAACATTCTCAGACTTGACCCTCCTGTGTAAGCAAGATACCAATGTACCACATTAGACCCACCACTGAATGAAAACAGGACACCTGTATGAAGTGCACTACCAGTTCATTTCTGTATCTGTGGACCTCATTTCTCTTCTCAATCAAGTGCCTTCATTCCTTTGATTATTCACAATACATTCAAGTAAATAAAAGGCACAGAAGTGCAAACGAGCATAATAAATGAAAGTCACCCTCCACTGATGATTTCATACAGGAAGGAAAGTCTTTTGATAAAGAAAAAAAAAAGACATTTTAAAGTAAACAATCTTCCTTAGATAAAGGAAGTGTAGAGCAGCACTGACAGAAAACATATCTATTTAAAATCTACATGTTGCAGAATGAACATTTTTCCTCATTTCACACTGAGTGGATATAGTGACTTCAATTTTTACTTATTTTGCTAACAATTATTAAACTCTTCAAAATTCTTGTTCACATTGGAAAGGATTCAGGGGCCTCTCCATAAAGATACTGAAGAAACCATAAATCTGACAAAGCAGAACTCTAACCTGTATTCGCAAAGTGCCCTTGTCTGTTATGCCAGCTCTCCATAAATCAAGAAGGGCATGAATACAGCCTTTCTTGACATCCACAAGACTTGAACTCCAAGGGTACCTAAGGCTCCAATGTGCTACTGCTCATGAGATATAAATTTAAAATCTGCATTTACTAAAATTAGCAGTAATTTCTGAAACCATTTTGTTCACATCATTAAAAATTTTTAAATACAGTTTTAGCCTCTGATATCCTATAAAGACTTTTACAGATGCCTTAACATTAAATTACAGTTAGTCTCTTGTTAGTAAAGTTACCAGAGGTAGACATTTCCTCAAGATAGACGGAGGGGAAAAAAAGAAAGGCGTTAGTCTACTTTCCCATTCATCATATCTCCCCACAGGGTAGAACACGCCTCCAAGAATCCAGACTACTGGCTCTGGTAAGCACAGTACCACAGTACAGAACTGGTAGCATCCTACTTCTTTCTCAGAGGTTGACACAGACTGCTGGACCTCTGACGAGAAGCTGCATGCATCCTTCTCCCCAACCCTATTAGACTCCATCTAATTTTCCTGACACGACTTATAATTCCAGAGAAGGGTCAGGTTGGGAACTGAGTGCTAAAGCAGTAAAGCAGGAGATAAAAAAGGAAAGGGGAAAAAAATGCTAGAAGCCTCTCCCTGCAACTCTCCTAGTAAGTCTGCAGCTGATTACATGCGTACTTACGCGCTTGCAGTATCAGGACTTGTCATCAGTATTTTGTTTTACCTAGAGGAACTTTGTAATATTCCAAATACCCAGCCAGTGGTACACAGAAAGATCAGCATTTACAGTTTAGCTCATTATAATCAATGATGTAATATCACATGGCTCAAGCAAGTTCTAGTAAAGCCTCATTCTGATTTAAAACTTCTTTTTAATCCAAGGATTTAATTTAAGCTGTTCTAACTTGTTTAGGTTTGAAGAAAGTCACTTTTTACATAATTCAGACTCACTATAACAAACCTGTTCCAGTAGAAATCTTCACAGCTTCTACTAGAATTGAGATTTTAACATAAATTGTTATTTCAATAGCATTAAGTTTATAATTTATTTCTTTGAAATTTACTGGAATTAGCAACTAAATCAAATTATATCCTTAAATATAGCAAATGAAAATGAGAACAGGTCTTTGATACATAAGTGTTAAGACTTTCACATTTGAATTTCAAATCAGTCATTAAAAGTAAGCTTACTTGGCCATTAAAAACAGGAAAGGTGCATGACTAATGAGCCTGTGGTTACACATTCACTTACAAAGGAAAAGTCAACTTCAGAAGCCCCCGCCTTCAAATCCTGACTGTTGTCAAGTTGCTGACCACTATCACATATCCCTGTTGGTCACCTAGACTGACCAAGAACAACTCTTCCCACCCCGTCTCCTGCTTATTTTTCAGTTTCCTCATACAGAGCCACACAAGCAGCTCAATCAGCTAAACAGTCCGGAACAGGAATGAAGTGGCTAAAGCAGCTCCATCATACGTAAGCAGCACTTGAGAGGAACATGAAACCATAGTACATTAGATAATCAACCTCACACAGTAATGGAAGTTTTCTTCTATAGAACCTGTAGTATTCTGCATTAAAAAAAATAAAGTACCTTTAAAAGAAAGCTCACAGCCATCCTAGCTATCCTTCATTTTCAATGTAAATGTTAATCTTTCAACTTCAGTCATTTATGAATTATCTTCTGTCGTTGTGAAGTATTTACACTGAAGTGCAGAATTAACTGAAGTTAGTCAACTCACATGATTTTGAACTTCTTGTATTTACTTTTTCCCCTCCTTTTAATCTAACTGCAGTGCTCTGTAAATGGGGAGGTATAATATGTATTACACATTAAGCCAAATTACAACATGTATGGCATCTTTACTTAATACAAAGTAACCAATGTAATTTCACAGTGTTATTATAGTTCCATCTTCTTCTAATGCCTTACGATCTGGATCTTGTGCTTCATATTCCATGCTAACGCTGCTTGCTGAATGATTCAAGTTCATCCCACTGGAAGGAAGGAATCCATTTTGCGTTGACTCATGGAGTTCAATCTGTGTCAATGATTCTAGGCTTTCACTGGCGGATGCGGCTTTTGGAATCTGCTGTGGCTCACCGCTATCTTCAATAATAATGTCCTCTTCATCACTCTCCTCTTCTCCTTGCAAGAAATTTGCTAAAACATTTGGCGTGCTACTTGGAAGGCTAGATTCAGTAGACTGACCAGAGCTGCCAGAAGTCCGACTGTTCCTCACAACATTATTTCTCTGGTTTGCTGGTCTTACCGTAATGATCAGGTTACGGCTGTTTGCAATCATCATGTCTGTAACCTGATCAAGGCTTTTTCCTGAAACCTCTATTCCATTCACCTCCAGTACTTCATCGTTGACAGCCAGTAAGCCTGTGCTTTGAGCCAGACCTCCAGGGACAAGCCTAGATATGAAAATCCCTGGAACTTTCTCTAATCCATGTGGCGTTACTCTGACACTTGATCCATCTCGTATATAGAATCCAAGGGGTTTGTCAGTTCCGTATTTGTAAAGTCGTACCCTGCGATGGGTTTCTGGAAGAATATCTACATCTATAATAGAAGACACTGGTCTGAAGTCTTGTGGCATGCTAATGACAATGTGAGGTTTCTTCTTGTGATTATCCGGACGTAACACATTTGATAAGACATTTTTCTTCCTTGTCATAGTATCCGTACCAAAGGCACTGTAGTCTGCATCTTCTGTAAGACATAGCACATTGATGATTAGATCACTTTATACATGGGCCATATTGCATTGCTATCATGTTTTAGGTTACCAGAATGAAATGTCTCATCTAGAAGGCTTCTGGCTTGCTACAGAAGAAACATTTCTCTCCACACATGAAACAAGAGCATTAATGCCACAAGATTCAAAGTTTTTAATACTTTTGGTTTCCTACTACTAAAGGAGAGACAGTACACAAAAAGTTAAAGCAAGTTAGCAGCAGTAGAGACACAAAGAACTATATTCTGACTGCTTGAGAGAAAGGTTAGAATGGAAAGAATGAGTACATTCCTAGAAACATTTTAATTTTATTCAGAGTAATTCTACTTAGTTTTCTCTCCTCAGGTTTCAGATCATTGGAAAAGAAAGAATGAAAGAGGGAAAGCAGCCAGTGTGCCTACTATTGCCTAGTTCCTGGAAGCTAGCCAAGTGACCTGGATTCAGACTCCAGAAAGCTCATTCCATTCTGCCTCTCCTCCCTGCCCCCATGCAATGTAGGTAAAATGGCTGTGGAGCAGAAACAAAAATCTTGCACACAAATACTTCAAGCAAAACTACTCATACAAGCAATGCTTTAACTGCCACAATTTGATACAGAATATGCAAATGGCTTACAATTTCTAAAAAAGAAAACATATGCAAGTCATACAAATACTTCTAATGGAAAAGAAAATATGTTCTGCAGAAGCAATTCTGATGTCTGAAATGCCTATTATCAAAGGAAGCTTCCATTTTTCTTTTTAATATGCTATAGCTCTCCTAAAACAATGAACCAAAACACATCCAGATCCGAGTTTCCTTGGATTTACACTGGTATTTTTGCAATGTTGCACAGATCTTTTTTTCCTGCATTGGATTAAAAAAAAATCAAGCAGAACTGTTTTGCACTAATGCTGGGACCCAGAGAAGTTGGGATTTCTTTGTATTATCACATTAAGATGCCATTGGTACAGCCAAGAAAGTAAAAGAATTGCTATACATTTCAAACAGTGAATTGAAATAACTATGGAAATGCTATCCTAGTGTGAAATTTCAGGAGAGTTGTCAATTGCTGATGAAAAAAAGTACACTGTGAGAGTTGGTAAGTCAGAAGATTTTTTTTTTCTAGGCTAAGACGAGATACATGGATATCCTTTGGTGGGGGGGGGGCGTTTGTTGGATTTTTTTTTTTTTAGCACACAGTGAGAACAATAACTAAAAAACAATCCAACCTCCCAAACCAATGCATATAGTGTGTGGCCTATATCTGAAGTGTAACACCTCCAAAATGCAAACTTACCATTTTCTCTTTAACACACATTTTGGAATATCTAACTAACTGAAGATCAGCCATTAAAAATCCTGTACTCAACTGCTGAAAACTAACATGCTGAATTTTCCGACAACATGAAACAATTATTTTCACGATTGCTTAAAATTTATGATCAAAGATAAAAGTGTGAGAAGTTTTGCCCTTATCTCAACCACAACCCATCCAACCAGTTTTAAGTTAGATATCTGGTCGTTACATTAGAAGGATTTTTGCAATTCAATGAGTTGCAATAGCTTTTCTTTGTTATTTGGAACTAGAGGCACTCACAAAACAACTTGGAAAGGGCAATTGTGCAATAAGATACTAGACAGAAGGGCCTTGCTTTAAGTATCTTTTACTGTTGAATACAAAAGTAACACAATGACAGCAAGAAAGTGATAGTATAGGCGGAAGATTTTAGACAAACAATAGACAATGGTGACTTTAATAACAGAATTAAGAACGTTAATGAGTGCAAAGTTTATTTTTTAGGTCATGGATTTTCCCCTCCTCCACAGGGCAGCTTGTACACATCTTAGTGATCTCAACAACTTTTTTGTGCAGTGCATGTCTAAGTAGTGTAGATCTCTGATACTTTAGAATTCTGGTTTTATGGCTGCACGATCAACAGTAAATTCAACAAGACTAGAGAAAAGTATTCCAAGGGCCAGAGAGACATTGCACGGACAAGAAGTGTCATTCTGCCTCATTTCAAAAGCTTCACTTCTTTCTGGTTTGTAGTGGTGACACATATTTCTAGGCATTTAACACTGCATTGCTCCAGAAGAGCTCTGTTCTTTGGGGAGTTCTCCAGAGAGCCAATGAGTAAACTGGGAGCATTTTGACTGCTTAGTTCCATATTGTTTAGACCTTAAGTCACATTATGCTTTTTTTTTTTTTAAAGTAAGCTTATCTGAAGTACATGAGAAAATTGCACATGCCCAATTAACTTTTTTGCATTGTAACTAGTCATAGTAGTCTAAAAATTCAAAACTAGCACAAACCTTAAGATATAGTATAGTTAAAGTTACATAATTTGTGGGAGAAAAAATAGAGAGAGGTTGATGAAAACTCATCTCACCAAATCTCAGCCAAGCAGCATGACTGTTTAACCTCTCTTCCACTGCTAAACAATTTTTAAAGCAATATTCAAGTACAAAGGCATCTTTGTTCTGGCACCTAGCTAATCAGTTTAAAGCTGCAGCAGAAAATATTTCGGCAAAAAGACAGAGAACAAGGTGTTAACTACAGATAGCGTTAAGGAGAATGTCCACATAGAGCAAGTGTGATTTTCCCCCAGCAGTTTCCAGCTCAACGTGGCACCAATCTGTATATATGTACTACATGAAATGTAAAACAAAAGCCCACAAACACCAAATCTTCTTTCAATTCAACATTCTTCAAGACAGATTAAGACAGATGTTTTCCTGATCTATTTGCAAAGCAATGTAAAGTTACCCCTTAATAATTAAATTTTCAAACCCCCCCAAAATCATTGGTACATTGGAATATAGATGCAATTTAGCATTTTTTAAATAAGCCCCAACAAATTTTGTCTCTTATTTAGTCACAAGTTATAACAAAACACGGTTTTAGGAAACTAACCTATGTTTTTAGGAAGCAGACCCAGAATAGCTAGGATATTCCAAAGACAGCTGTTTAAAAAGCCAACTCCTCTTACTTTTCACCAGAATAAAGTTTCTCAGTGAAAAAGTCTGTCTCAAGAGGCACAAATGACTTAACCAAAACCCCCACTTTTTACTATATACACCCATGTGCATGCAGAACTTGCAGGAAGTTGTATATTGTAATTTAATATCCTGCAAAGGAGTTTTAAGGTCATTATAATGAAATATATTTTTGCTAAGTTATTTTCTTTATTATTCTTGCATTTACAATGCAAAGTCTCCCACACTGAACTGCCCTTCAGGGCCTGTGTGGACTATGTCCCCGCACCATTTTATCTTCTGTAAGATTTTTCTCACAGCCAGAGTGACTCCCATACATCTGGACTTAATCATGATACATCAGTTTAACCTTTAAATTCCAGATGTCAACAGTACCTGTTAATCTGTTAAACTGCAGAATGAAATTCCAATAAGCAACTGTTCTCTGCAAACTGATAGCTGTTCTTGACTTGTGCAATATCAAGCTCCAGTTTAGATTTAGCACTGGAGTCCTTTAAAATGTTTTAAAGTTAACTTAGTTAAATACAATTACAAGAGTCTACATGGAATGATGTGATTTGATTTCATGTCATTACAGGATCTGTAGGTTTCTTACCACATTAATAAATACACAAATGTTTAAGATCTTTCATAAATTAGGAGTCAGAAATCAATCAGAATGGAAAAGAATGCTTACTCTGGCATAACAGAATTTCTGAAATTTCAGTCATGTTATTACAATTGTCATCTATTAATAACATTGCAAAAACATCTTGTTGCTCCCATTTCAACCCTTTAAGGTCTTCCTTGGATGCAATATACTAAGAAGTTAATACTATTTACCCTAGATTTTATTGTAGTCTGGTCATACCTTATGTTAGCTTTCCACAAATTGCATATAGCTTCTAAATAGGTAAGACAGTATGATGAAATTTCCTATCTTTTAAGACAGCAGAAACTTTCTCTCTTCCCCACAGTAACTTTTGCCAAGGATCTTAGATTCCCAAGTATTATTGCTGGAAATACAAAAAAAAGGGCAAAGTTCCCTTACAAAACCCACAGAAATTTTTCAGATTATCTAAGAGAACGTGTGAAGCCAGAAGCAGCCTTGCAGGTGGAAAAGCAACTTGCATCATTTATTAGTTATTAGTTCCAAAAGAGCACAATCAAAGCCGCCCCATCAATAGCAGGTATTTGTTCAGACATTCGGTTTTCAATGTCAGAGGTATGGCCAATAAAGATCTGTGCAATCAGATGAATTAATAACACCTAAACAGACTACACTGCACAAATTACAACACATGTAACTCCTGCACTTCAGCTTTAGTTACAGGCAAACTATCACAAATAAAATACAGAATTCAAGTTATTTCCTTATTTTCCATCAAACAAACCTCTGTTCTACATGGTAAAGATGCTAACGGAATCAAAGGCTCAATTTAACTAACAGAAGTGGTCAAAACTAATTCAGAACAAAGTACCGTGCTTGAAGTGCTGGACTCAGATGCCAGTATGGGTTTTTTGTTCCCTAACACTATAGCCAGAAGACTAGTCTCAAAGGGAAGGTGAGGACAACTGATACTTTCTACATGGTTTTTCCCCTCTAATCAATTCTTGGCAAGATAAACTCAAGTGGGTTAATCTTATTTCTAGTTCTGTGCATTGTATCAATTTTATTATCAATTCCTCACAGAGTAATAAGAAAGAATCCATCATGCTTTAAATAAAGGTACAAGGAAGGTATAAAATGTTACAAATGTAACACTAGTAACAGTCATCATTAAACATGTAACACTAGTAGCAATCTAAAACCATATGGTGTTAAAATATAAACTCAATAATCCCAGTCTGACAAAGTGGCTTATCTGTTCTCATCATATGGCTACTGTAGGAGATTAAGTGGAACGATAGACCTTTTCTCCCTCTAGGTTCTATTAAAGCAAATAGTTCATTCCTTTGGCAATTCAGGACTGAAAACATAGGCCTTACCAGGCTATACTATCCTCAACACAAAACAAACACATTTTGCCAGCAATGCAGCAGCTGGCAAGCAGCCCCACTGGTTTTGAATACTGTTTTTGTGTCAGGCTGTTGTGGAGCTTATTCATTTTTTGGAGCAGGAAAGCTGATAAAAGCTTCCAATGCCCAAGTATTTTCTAAGGAAAATAATCCTGTCTTAGCAACAACCAGAAAGAGTGCACATCTGTATCAAATAGCTAAGCAAGAAGCAGCCTGCTATTCCAACATCAGTTGGCTGCCTTATTGTGATAGGAATTGCACATGCATGTGTTCATATATTTATATACATAGAATGCACACACACATCTGCATGCAAGTAAGCAGAAAAACAGTGCAGAAATCAGGTTTTCTTGACTTCTCTAGACTAAAACCATTTCAAGTCACATCACTAGATTACTCCCCTCCCCTTCAGTTCCATATACTGAATATGTTCTCGCGGACAAGAACAAATACAACTTCAAATTGATATTTTTCCGTTCACAAACAAAAGCAGACACCAGAAAAAGACAACCAGAATTTTGTGCCTAGAAGACATATTATTTTTAAAGGCAAACCAACAAACTGAGCAGTACTCACATTTGAGTCTTGCTAGATGAAATAAGCTTGTCATTTTGAAGGCTTCAAAATGTTTTATTAGGGAAGTGTGATAGGAGTAGCATATTACAAAGTTAGTCTTTAATTTATACTGACATTTAATACTTCATGTAATAAGACATTCAAGATTCCTTTCCATCCTGTAACAGCCTCTCTTTCTGATCTGATCAAGATCGGAATTTTAAGTGAAAGGCATCCCACATACAGAGCAGAAAACCCTAGAGGTTTAAAGTTTATTGTCATTTGCTTATATAAAAACCAGAAAGAAGCATTTGCTAGAGATTTAACTTAACTTTAACTGAATACAAGCAAAAAGCACAAAGTATAAATAGGTTGCCTGAGGAAAGCTCTTGCAAGAGAGATGACTTGTGAATACCTCTCATGATCCATAATGACTATGGAATTCAACATGATGAAATAGGAACGACTGTTTTTTTCCTCCATACGTCACACACTGTTTACTGCACCACAGTATAACTGGATAAACAGATTATTCACAGACTTCAAGTGCACTTACCTTTTCTCTGAATGAAAATCCTGAGTAGAGGATTGGCTGTGGAAACCGCTTTATGATAATTGTCATCATTGTTGATAGGCAGCAGGTCTCCATGAATGTCCGTATATCCCACTAGAACATCAACATTTGGTATCTTGTGCACATGCTGCAATAATCCATAGAACTCCTCAAACTTCCCAGGTTTGGATCTCTCCAGAGAAAATCGTCGAAATTCTGCTCCAAACTACAAAAAAAATATATCTTACATCAGTAATATTCTATTCCTTGAAGGTGTTAGATTTCCATGATTTGAATGTTAAACCAAAAATGCTATGGAATTAAAAGTGCACTAAAAACTACATCCAATAATTTTGAAGTGGCATAAAAAGTTTAAACTGGTGGTTTTTTCCTGAAGTTATAAGTATTTTTGGTCTTAATAAAACCTGTACTTTTGAATATGCAAAAGTTGTTTTTATTGTTCTGTTTAGATCAAAGCATTAGCTAATATGCGAGCTTAGCATTAAGGTAACAAACTAGTTCAAGAATAACTGCAGATTCTTACATGCTTATGAAACAGCCACGCTCTCAGTAAGGGACAGAATTCATACCCAGCACTGATGGTGGTGGCTCAAAAACAAGATTATGATTAACCTCCTATGGTATGTGACTACCTGGAACTTTTTCAAAGAAATTTCAGTGCACTTTAGAACAGTATGTATACATTGTTATACAGCTATGGTCAACCTATGCCAGACTGAGTAGTTTTCAGATTCCCAGTTGTTTGGACAAGAAATGAAAAAGCCACTTAGACCTGAAGACTACAAAGAGTGGCTGCTGCTTTTCAGTACAAACTATGCGCACTAAAGCTTTAGTGAGATGATCTCAAGTCAATTCTGCTCTTACCTAAGGAGAGATACAAAGGAAGCAACCAGGCACTACTCCTTAAGAGCACTGAGAAGATTTGCCTGCATGATCAAGATTCAAATCTTGGCTGCACAGTCTTAAAATGGGTTTGTATCCAGGCTATAAAACAGACAAGATTCTGAAGATATGCAAAAAACCATTTAATCACTAGGACTGTACTTTCAGGGGCAGGATTTGTATTTAGTCAGTATGATCACTCAAAAAAAGAAACCCAGCTCCCTATTCCACTCAAGCATCAGTCTCCTAAATCACCTATCTAGCAAACACTTATTACAAAACAATGCTAGAAATGATTCAGTGGTGGTAGGCATAAGACTAAACTAGGTGCAAATGAAAGAATAATAATTTGATGTAGACTAGACAAATTGTAATTTTAGCAAGCACAACTGGTAAAAATCTAGTGTTCTGCCCAACACGGGCAGGACCCAAAGCAAACAGAATATTGGATAAAAAAATCACTCGAAAACCTCCATATCAGGCACACACAACATACCAAAGATGCTTAAAGGAATAAAGAGACAGCAGCAGCCAGGTTACTAAAAGCAGACCAGCTTGTATACGAATTAAAAGGGTAATAAACTAATAATTAAAAAATAGAAAACAAACAAAAGTCAATTGGTGGCATTTTTTGTGAATTGTACTGCTGACCTGCAATGAACATCAAAACTTTAAATCACTTCTTTATCAAGTTTAGTTTTAAGCAGAACAGAAGGGCACATTGAAAAAAAACTGATGGTTTGAGCCTCAGTATCACATACTTGGGTATACCTTACACACAGTAGATGTGAAGGCCCACATTGCCAAGCCTCCAGACCAACCTTTACCTCCCATTTGACTGCAAGCTTTTGTAGGATAAAAGCTTGAGAGTTCTCACATACAAAGGAATGAAAATAAGGAGACAAGGACCCCGTTATTAGCACATTAACACCATGCTAACTCAAAAACAACACAGCAGAACAAACTACACCTTCCAATACCCCACCTTCCTCCTAAACTTTCAAATAAAGGAATTATCTGGGAACATTCCTCTTCTAGAAATACTCCAATTACAGCAACATTAACTCACAATAAGGCAGAGGAGATGATTCATACCTGCTTACAAGAAAAGCAAAGAAAAGCCTGCAGGAGGAACTCCAATCACATCAGAAGCATCACGCTTAATCATGACGTCAGTGAAAGACTTTATCCTGTGCCTCTCAAACCTCCCCTCAGCTATGTGAGGTATGAATGCCACAGGAATTGTCCACACATTGCATCAATTTCAATTGTTTGGTTTCAAAAAGACTACATAGTTCAAACATAATTCAGTAATAAAAGTTTAAAAAGCCAACAACCTCACTGTCAATTTGGAGTACACATTAAATCCTATTGCAGTAAGCATACAAAGGGACAGATTTTCAAATGTGTGATTTTTATTTTTTTTTCCCACATGATTTTATACGTAGTTGGTGCAAACATCAAGAAACTAATAATCTGGCTATTATTTCCTAACATGGTTTGCCATATGCTCAATACTGTTATAAACCAGATAGAAAGGACAAAAGTAAAACTATGCAATTTCACAGTTCATTTTAATCCCCTGAATTGTTTTCATTCTATATCAATTGTTCATTCCATTAAACGGGCTGCACTTACACCTTGTAAATTTAGAGGAGATGAAGGACTGAAAGAGACAAACTTAAGAAAAGAAGGCTTCTTGCCACCTGAGCTCTTTACAGATCCATGCTGTTACACTGGTAACTTATTTGGGAAAATAGCACAAGAGATGCCAGCATACTAGGAAGTTACTAGAGATACTCACGTAAGTAAGACTTATGAGAGACATTTTTAAGTTCTCTGTAATACAGCACACTGCTGCTATACTGTAAGTCTCCAGCAAGAATAGGACATTGGCTACAGTAAGTAATCATACCTGTCTTATCAGTATATTAGATTTCATTCTGAAAAAAAAAAAATTATTCCAAGTCATAAGATAGAGGGGGGGAAAACTTGAGTTTTATATCTAGAGAATTAGAAGTTTATTTTGGGGCTTTCATACCACCACCAGGAACTCTAGTTTGGGGTAAAAAACTAAATTTTCTATAATGAGGGAAAGGGCTAACTGGAATTAATATACTATGGGGATTCCTCAGGTCATATCCAGACCAGTTACCCAAATTGAATAAACTAGACTAACAAAAGGATTTTGCTCAGATAACTGCAACTACAGTTGGGCTGTGCTGGCACAGCTTTGTCAGCAGGGGCACGATTATTGATTTGGAGAATCTAAATAAAGAGCTGTACATCGCTGATAAGCCTTCAAAGCCTAGACCACTCCACAGTAATGGTCCCCTCCACCTCCCACACAAGCCCTTCTTCTTTCTCTTTAGAATTTATTCTTTCCATAAAAGGAAGATGACTCCTATGCTGTATTAAATCAAGGCGCTGTTAAATAATGCATTAGCAACAAGTAGTTCTAGGAATGCCTTGAAACCTGCTTCATAACACGCACTTGAGAGAGTCATTAGAACTTCTATACTTCCCTGTACAAACCCCAAAGAACACATCACACGGGTGATCCCTAGATATATTTTAAATCAAGGAAAACACACAATGGGAGAACAGTACACCTAGAGTCTTCAGCTGAGGCAACAAGTATTTTGTTTATAAACACACTGTACTTATTGTTTTCAATCTTACAAGACCATAGATGAAAAAAGACTTCAACAACCACAGTAACAGCTATGTTTAGCTAGTATTTCAAATCATAGCTACCAGCTATTCCTGTGCTTTCTGGTTTTGTCCACATGAAAGTTAATTTAACACTTCAAAGAAATAACCAGTCAAGCTACAGAGAACAACCATTCATTTTCTAGAAGTTCCAGCACTATATTAGCCTTAAAAAAACCCACACAACACCACGAGTCCTGACTGCTTCACCTATACTGCTGCTGTAACACTTTATTAGCAGAAAAGGAAGGTAAAGAATATAGACAACAGACTGTAGACCAGTTCAAAAAAAAGCCCACAAGAGACATTTTTCTACCAGTGGAAGAAAACACATTCCCATGTGAGTGCACTTGCAATTTGCCTAGACAATTAAAAAGGAGTTTTAACTCAAGTTACACAGGTTTAACTAATAGGTTGGCACTCCACCTAATACTGTACGTCCAACACTTTTACAATTGTTAACTGCAGAATTACACGCCAACAAAATATTGCAAGTATAAACCAGAACTCAATTTCTTTCAAAACATCAAAGATTTGTCAGCAAGACTTTGTCTAACCAGCATGTGAAAAAGTAACAGCAGGAAGAACGGATGCAGATACATCCATGAGAGAATTTACAGAACTCTACAAAGCTTTGACAAGAAACTGTTGGTATAAGCTGTAACATATAGATATGCACTCATAAAACAATTTCCAGTGTAAAATCCTCAGACAGCCTCTAAAAGATGGCAAACTCTACTTTAAGATAAGTTAGCCAGGGCTTACTTCTACTAAGTAATGCAAGCTATGCTCTGCCCCACCAAAAAAAAAAAAGCACAGAAACACATAGCCATAAATTAAAAAAAAAAAAAAACCCAGAAAAAACCCAGCCACTAAGTTAAACAAGTGTACTATTTTTCTAATTCAGAGGAAAAAGAGGCTTTAGAATTTCAATCATAAGGCCAAGTATCTCCTATAGCCCAAATATCCCAAACTTTCCCCAAACATCTATTTCTCTGTATGTTTTTGAGTCTATTCAGAAACAAAGGGGCCAACTCCACTAACCCGTTTTTGTGAAACATTTCAAAAAGATATTTTTTCCCCCTTGGCATACACCACCTCCCAACTTCCACGACCTCAGCCCTGCCACGGCCGAGCAGC